CAATATCAAACGGCAAAATTTCAAGATGGGAATAACTAAATATAGGTTTGTATGTTATGCATATGAGACAGGAATACAGAATAACAAATGACGTCAAAGTAAAATACGGATTTTGTGTCCTGTGAGATGTAAATGCAGGATGTTATGAAGTCACACAGTGAAATCAGATTGCCTTAAATCATACCATTATAGAATAAATTTCCACATCTAGTGTCTTGATATTATACTCTGGAATCATATCTATATTATATATGCACCTAAACAGGATCTAGAAATGATTCTCTATAACTGCATCTAGTGAAGAAATCCTAATATACATGAACTATCAGCTTGTTAACTTCAATTAAATAATGTTCGTAACGTCATAGGAAATGGCGGCAGGCACTACAATGCACTGAATAGAAACATTCCTAATGGCATCCCCGGATAAATTGCCTTATACCCTTCACGATTATCTTGTTCAGCTTATCTTCTTTCCAATCATTCTACTTTGAATACAAGTAAGTTAAGCAAGTCACTGTAATATACCAATACCTTTTATATTATAAAATTTTCCCCGATCTGGGAGTTTCTTCTCCCCTGTGTATATTTTATAAACTGGGAGTTCAAAACAATTCTGTTATCATGTTTTTATTGTTTGTTGCTGTGTTTCTATAGTTACCGATTCTGCTTTAGTATTGCATTATAAAAGTGATCCAGTAGTTGATTTTCTATAGAGTTTGGTTGTGTGCACGGTGTAAATAAGATTCATTGCCATGGTGATGATAACTGCAAGGGAGTAATGCTTCTTCTGATTAATTGATGTCATTTCCAGACAAAAATAGTTTTTACTAAACTGTATTATATGCTTGATTTATTGCTCGTGGCAGTATTCAGATATAGAATACAACTCTTTTTAATAGAAAATGGAATCATTTGTAATCTCTGATATTCTTTATACAGATGCATTATCCTGTGCCCTAAGGCATTGCTATTGCACATTTTTCTGGGCCCATCCTTGGGGAGACCTGAATAGCACACAAAATGATAAATATCACACTTTGAAGAGGAAATGGCTGCCATGTAATTCAGCATACCCAAAACCTAATCAAATCTTAGCACTTAAGACAGCTCTAGCATCTGTAAAAATTCCTGTAATTTTAATGACAAGATTTATGTGCACACATGCATGCATGCACAGACACATGCCCATTAGCACAAGTGGTCAATGGCCGTAACTGTTGCATCGTAAATGCTTTAAAATGTAAAGCCTGATATTCCTGTTTTAAATATAAAACCTGACATTACTGCTCATAAATTTTAAAAGAACTTCGATTTGACTTCCAACTTTGATCTTCACAAATATAAAACCTGACATTACTACTCATAAATTTTAGAAGAACTTCCATTTGACTTCAAACTTTGATCTTCACAAAAAACAGGTATGGTCTGGCAAGTGTTATAAGACAGTCACATGTTTGACCATGAGTACTGGATAGTCTGACCATAAATACTAATTCCTTCATCAAAACAAAATCTTTGCCTCTAGAATAGGTTCTAGGAATAATAGAAAATATCAATCCAAAAACCACGAATTGGGACTCCATCTCAAAATGTTGGACTTATTTTCTAAAAAAAACTTCTCTAAAAGGACCTTCTCTAATCATACGAGTAGCCAGCGTGATATCTGTATATATTTTACGAATGCCCGGCATGTTTCGAGCTTAAGATGTCTTGGGACTTTTCTAAATGAATCTGATCTAATGTGTCATGTTTCATTTGAGTCATGTCAATGTGACCCTTGGGCATATTTCCAATGATAGTGACATAAACAGTATGCTTGATATCATTTCTACAAAGCTGGAGCATTAGCAGAATATCATCATGTTGGCAAATACAATCAAAAGAATCATGTCGGCATGTACAATAAAAAGAATCATGTTGGCATGTACAATAAAAACATATAAAAAGAATCATGTTGGCATGAACAATAAAAAGAGAGAAAAATCAAATTAACAAGGCATTACCATGGCATAATGTCACCACCTGGTTGCACATAATCTATCAATGTGTAAGTCTCTAATTCGTTGCCATAGAAACCAATATTGCCAAAAATCTAAAGATGTCTGTAAAGGTCAAGTTAATCTGATCACAGTTTCTCTATTCATTTCAATGCAACAAATGTAAGAAGGGTTACAAGTCACATAGTTAGTTGCCATGGTAACACAACAGATATTGCCCAAAATAACTATTGTAACAACACTATGCTTGATTAGTTGTTAGGGAAGTGACATATGGATATCAGCTTTTCTATGTCACCTACTGATATTACATTATCAAAAAGAAGGCATGCATTAACATGACAAAATGTCACCACGTAGTTGCTCACGATATTATTAGTTCAAACTTAAGTCAGATTTGAATTTCTGAGAACTCTGTAGATGATTTTGAATAAAATGGTCAATTTGAAACACGTTTTTTTACCCTGGGGAGGTCATTGAAGGTGAAATCTCAAATCTAAAGTCAGATTGGAACTTCAATGATTTTGAAAAAAAAATATTGATCAATTTGAAGCAAGTTGAAAAACCTTTATGTTTAATATGATGGTGCATCACCAGTCATGTCTATTGTATGTTTCTTTTATACTGCATGTGAATATTTTTGGTGCTATTTTTTCCATATAGAACAAAATCGACTGAAATGAAGATATTTATAGCTATATATTATTCGTTGTATATGCAATCATATGAAAACGCTTGTTCGCTTCCAGCCTTTTCTTATCTATCACAACGTTCATTAGCTGCACATGGGTGACACATGGCTGCACTATTACTAACCACCTCTATAGATAGATGCTTGCATAAGAAGGCATCTGGTGACTGCAATATCATATGTGTATGAGTATATTTCCATTCTGAATAGGAAGTTATACTCGTTATGTAATTACCTGACTTCAACACATATGCAATTGTTTCAGACACCAAACACCCATCAATGCCAATGTAACAGTCACAAATTAAAAAAATCTGTAACAATATGTCACCTTTTAAAAATATAGTTGAGATGAATTATGGTAAAACAAGACACAGAGTGAACAGGATCGCACCCTTGAATAGAATACAGTTTTCGGGATGGAAAATTCAAATGCCTACCCTAACATTTACCCAGACTGCCGAAAACTCATCAGTTCTAAACTTTCATATGTAGAAATATCCCTAATAATATCCCTGATAAACTTCACGCAGAATTCTCAGTTTTAAACCAAAAGTATTTTAAAGTTATTACCTATTAACATCAAACTAGAATGCAGGATGTCATAGCGACCAATTCAGTAGTCTAAACAACAAAAAATGAGGAAAAAGTTGCGGTGATTTCATTATCAAGAAGCAAGATATCAAATTTAATGAAGTGCAACAGGTTACATGGGGCCCTATTTTCATATTAATTCTGAAAAAATGATAAACCAAAAAAACATTTATCAATGAATTAAATTGGCCGATTCCAGAAAATTTACTGTTTCATCTGGCTTTGAAGATAACTATTCTCTTCAATAAGGTTGTATTAACAAGGAGTTATGGATTGAGGAGCTTGGCTTTTTAAAAAATATTCTGTATGAGAGATTGCCTACAGTAACTTGATAGATATAATTTATTAGCGAGGGTCAGACAGTTGAATTATGAGGCATCGGGGACTGTCTAAAACATGATTTATACATACTAAATGCTCCCGTCTATACTATAAAAGTTATTCGATGGCTGTGCGGGTTAATGAAGCAGTAACTGTCCTGGGATTCATTTGTATATAATCAATATTACTGGATACGACAAATCAAGAGGTGGGAGATCAGAGGTATACTCCGCTGGAATTTCCCGTTGACTGTCTCTAAGCAGTAAAAATGTCAAAGATTATGGTTGGGATGACACTTTGCAGAAAATTCATCCTTCAACAGTTTATTATTATTAATATATAGCATGCATGGGATGCAAGTCAATCTATTAGCTCATACTTGTATCATATGAATAAGCATCATGCTTTTGTATTATAAATAAACTATAGCGTCTCTAAATACTAATGTACTCTGATGTTTAAAATCACCCCTTAAAATCTCATACACATCCTTCAAAATCGAACCTCACTAAGCTTATAGAAAGAACTGAAACACCCTTGGATCAAGGATGGTCATACAGACCAATTTTTGCATTTACAGCAACTCTGCAATGACCACCACTCGTGCAACAAATGAAAATGAATACCTAAATTCAAAAGCAGAAAGTACTGAGAATACTGTTGCCTACCCTTACAATAGTTCAACTTCATCAATAAGAGTTTTTGTCTTATTCTTGCTGAAACTTGATATATAAAATGTAGTGTATATTTCCTCTTCAAGTTTTCAAGGTTCACTGGTGATCCACTATCGGAGCAACAATTTTTCTTTTTTCCTTATTTCACACCTTGTAGGCAGAATTCTCACGGCATTTTTAACACAAACGTGTATCAGTAACATATGTTTAAGAAAATGTACACATTTGCGAACAAATAGTTCAGAAGACAACAGAATTGTCGATTTAATTCCTCACAAGAAACGGTATTTCGAGAAACAGTTAAGATCTGCACTTTTAACCCAAACCATTTCTGTAACTTAAGTGAGGAATTAAATCAACGATTCTGTTGTCTTCTGAGCTTTTTTTTGGCAAACATGTACATTTTCTAAAACATATGATACTGATGTATGTTTGTGAGAAAAAATGTCGTGAGGATTCTGCCTACAACGCGTGAAATAGGGAAAAAAGAAAAATCGTAGTTCCGACATTTTGTTACCGAAACGAACCGTTTTGGTAACCAGCGTAATCGAGTGGATCACCAGTGAAGGTTGAAAGTTAATTAAATGCTGTATCCCTTGTGATATGATCAAAGGTCCCTTAAAAGTGTAAAAAAGTATCCATTACTTATTGATCACCCCTCATATGTCTCATTTATTGTGTATAAATTCCTTTGAGATGCTGACTTATATCAAAACTTACCTGTTTGTATGTAACATTAATGTCTGTGGCTTCACTTGCTTCTGGTATTGTCTTCTTCATCTCAAGCTCCTGAAATATCATTTAGAATGTATGAATATCATTATTAACATATCAAACATCTACTGTAATTTCAATTTGTTGTAAAAGAATATCTTGTTAGTACAATTGTGTAGGTTTTTATTTTTATTGATGCTGGTATGAGCGTTTTCTTGGAATTTTAGATGTTTTTTCATGGAAATGTGCACTTTTACAAAGAAAAACAAGACACACAGTGATAAATATCGCACTTTGAAGAGCAAACTGGCCACCATGCAATTTACCCAGCATGGCCAAAACCTAATCAGACCTTGGCACTAGTCTGCTCTTGCATCTGTAAAAATTTCAAGTTGACAAGGTTAGCGGTTTTCCTGCAATTTTGATGACAAGAATTTATTTGTAGTCTTGAACTTTAGGAAAATTTAGATAACATTGTTTGTGACCTAATTTGATGACCTTCAACCTTGAAAATTTCACTTTTTCAGACCTCAGTAATTAACTGACCTAAATTTAGCTGACCTAAATTTAAATCCAAAATTTTCAAGGCCACTGAAGGTCAACGAAAGGTCAAATCTGAAATCTAAGGTCAGATTTGAACTTCTGAGAACTTGTAGATGTTTTTAAAAAAAAAATTTGGTCAATTTGGAGCAAGTTGAAAAATTCAAGATGGCCGCCAAATTGAAAAATTCAAAATGGCCACCATGCAATTCAGCCAGCATACCCAAAACCTAATCAGATCTTGGCAATAGTCTGTTCTTGCATCTGTAAAAATTTCAAGTTGAACGGATAAGTGGTTTTCCTGGAATTTTGATGACAAGATTTGTTGAAAAATTCAAAATGGCCACCACGTAGTTTACCCAGCATGCCCTTAACCTAATCAGATCTTGGCACTAGTCTGCTATTGCATGTGTAAAAATTTCAAGTTGAACAGGTTAGCGGTTTTCTTGGAATTTTGATGACAAGAATTGATTTGTAGTCTCAAACTTTGAGAAACTTGGATAACATCATTTGTGACCTAGTTTAATGACCTTGACTTTCGACCTTGAAAATTTCACTTTTTCAGACCTCAGTAGGTGTTTTGTAATTAAGCTGACCTAAATTTAAATCCAAAATATCAATTTAGAAAATCAACTTTTTGACCTTTTCAAGGTCACTGAAGGTGAATGAAAGGTCAAATCTGAAATCTAAGGTCAGATTTGAACTTCTGAGAACTTGTAGATGTTTTTAAAAAAAAATTTGGTCAATTTGGAGCAAGTTGAAAAATTCAAAATGGCTGCCAAATTAAAAAATTCAAAATGGCCACCATGTAATTCAGCCATCATACCCAAAACCTAATCAGATCTTGGCAATAGTCTGCTTTTGCATCTGTAAAAATTTCAAGTTGAACGGATAAGTGGTTTTCCTGGAATTTTGATGACAAGATTTGTTGAAAAATTCAAAATGGCCGCCACATAGTTTACCCATCATGCCCTTAACCTAATCAGATCTTGGTACTAGTCTGCTCTTGCATCTGTAAAAATTTCAAGTTTAACAGGTAAGCAGTTATCCTGGAAATTTGATGACAAGATTTGGTTTATGTCCCGCCCGCCCGCACGCCCAAACGCCCGCACGCCCAAACGCCCGCACGCCCGCCCAACAGCACAAGACGACAACAATATAGCACTTTTTCAAAGTGCGATAATAATATCATATGATTAAACGATGTAAAACTACTTTAAGGTAGAGAGAGAGGTGTAAAATTCTAGCTCATTTCATAGGGGCAACACATAGAACAAGGCACAGGACGTGAACGAGATCACACCATCAAATAGGCAGACACTATGAACCAGGAAAACTTTTCTCCAATTATGTTTACAAATTTCAAGAACAAGAAACAAGATTTTTCAAAAAACCTTCAAAATGGCCACCAGAAAACAAGATGGCCGCCCAAAAGTTAATCAGCTCTAGTACTTGATATCCTCTATCATTTGTGTAAATTTGAAGGAAATCCGATGAGCGGTTTTCCTGAAATGGCGATGACAAGATTTTTCGAAAAACCTTCAAAATGGCCACCAGAAAACAAGATGGCCACCCAAAAGTTAATCAGCTCTAGTACTTGATATCCTCTATCATGTGTGTACATTTGAAGGAAATCCGATGAGCGGATTTTCTGAAATGGCGATGACAAGATTTTTCGAAAAATCTTTAAAATGGCTGCCAGAAAACAAGATGGCCACCCAAAAGTTAATCAGCTCTAGTACTTGATATCCTCTATCATTTGTGTAAATTTGAAGGAAATCCAATGAGCGGTTTTCCTAAAATGGCGATGACAAGATTTTTCGAAAAACCTTCAAAATGGCCGCCAGAAAACAAGATGGCCACCCAAAAGTTAATCAGTTCTAGTACTTCATATGCTCTATCATCTCTGCGAATTTGGAGAAAATCTGATGAGCAGTTTTGCTTAAACGGCGATGACAAAAAAAGCGGGACGATCACGACCACGATCACAATCACGACCACGACCAGTATGACGACTATATCCCACCGATGGTGTGATAAAAATAATATTTACTTATAGTGCAACACAAATAAAATATTATTTATTACATGTAATAACAAGGCATTAACATGACAAAATGTCACCACACAGTTGCTCACAATATTATGAGTTCAATCTTAAGTCAGACTTGAATTTCCTGTAGATGATTTTGAAAATATATATTGTTCAATTTGAAGCAAGTTGAAAAAAATTCTTTTTGATCCTGAGAAGGTCATTGAAGGTGAAATCTCAAATCTAAAGTCAGATTAGAACTTCTGAGAACTTGTAGATGATTTTGAAAAAACAATTGGTCAATTTGAAGCAAGTTGAAAAAGGACCTTTTTGACCTTGAGGAGGTCATTGAAGGTCAACATTTTTTTACCTTGAGAATGTCATTGAAGGTCAAATCTATAGTCGGATTTGAACTTTTGAAAACTTCTAGATGATTTTGAAAAAAATATTGGTCAATTTGAAGCAAGTTGAAGAAACAACTTTTTGACCTTTTTTGACCTGGAGACGGTAAATGAAGGTAAAATCTGAAATCTTAAGCCACATTTGAACTTATGAGAACTTGTAGATGATTTTTAAAAAAAAATTGTTCAATTTGAAGCAAGTTGAAAAAGGACCTTTTTACCTTTTTTTTACCTTGAAAAGGTCACTGAAGGTCAAATCTTAAATATAAAGTAAGATTTGAACTTCTGAAAACTTGTAGATGATTTTGAAAAAAACTGAAGTCAGTCTAAACAGTATTTGTTAAGTTATTGGAAGTTTAAAGAATTTGTTACAGATGCCACACAACGATCGCCAAACCGCCGCCCGCCGATCACCAACCTCTGTCACAAAAAATGGAGACCATAACAATATGTCACCACTTTTTGGTGGTGACATAATAATAATACTTAATGATATATACTTAAATAAATACTAAAATAAAGGTTTGGACTATCTGATTACAAGGCATTAACATGCAAAATGTCACCAGCTACCACTTGTTACAGACACCAAACTCCAAACACTGAATGCCGAACACCATCCACAAAAAAGTAACATTAAAACAATATGTCACCACCTGTGGTAGTGAGATAATAACAATATATTGTAACATCAACTATACCATGTGTGATATTGGTTATGTGTATTAAACATAGGTATAAAACTTTATAAATTATCTTCATAGCTTGCAGGGTTCCCAGGTTTTTATATTTGTGGCATAGATCATTCTGTGGAATTGAGATGGAAATTAATGACACATTTACCAGGCATCATTGCAATAACAGGAGAAATAGATCATAATTTACCTCGAGCTTCAGAAGGCTTGATATTCTCTGGCACCATGTTTTGTATTCACTACCCAAGCCTCCCATCTTTGCGAGAAAGTCTTTCATCTCTCGTTGCACTGTAACTGTTGACTCTAAATCACAACTGAAACAACAATTTTGTGATATTCAACATTATCTTATGTTTTTCCACTGACACATAATAATATACCAATATAATAATGATACCATATACATGTACATGTATATATTATACATGTATAATACTCTCATGCTATGTCAGAGCCATATAATATAATGCAATATACAAAACTACACTATTCATCTTATGATATAATACAATAAAATACAATACAATGCAATGCAATATACTATACATTACAATGCAAGATATGATACAAGGCACTAACATGCAAAATGACACCACCTGCCATTTGTTACAGATGCCAAACTAGGAATGCTTACCGCCAGATACCAAATGCCGAACACCATCCACGAAAAAGTTGGAGACTATAACAATATGTCACCACTTGTGGTGGTGCCATAATAATATAAATATTATAATACAATGCCATGTAAAAACGCAATACAAATTAACAACATAATCTTTTTACAAATTTTCCAATATAGTGTAGCAGTTACTAATCTGTAGAAAGTTGAGACAATGAAAAGCTGTAATAAAAGTCGATTCATAGTAACTAGAGAAGAGGAAGAACACATCCTATTGTTGTTGAATACTTCAGTTACCTGCATTGAAATCTCATTAAAGTTACATCACTATATTATATCATTATATACTTAGCAATGCATTAATATAATGCGATTATACTTCATGACTCTCAATTATTATCCTTAGCTTCCTAATTAATTAAGCATCAATGAATGAATGAACATGACCAATTTTGTGTACGATTTGTTGATATTTATGGAATGTTCATTTGGGTGAGAGAATATTATTTAATTCTGCAACCCCCCACTCAATGTCAATGTTGCTTATTATTTTTTGAGGAACTAGTCCAATAATAAAAAGTGGATCGTGTTATGGGAAACACTGTCTACCAGGATATTGCTGATCAAATACCTGAATTCCGTTTATAATGGCTTTCTGCGTACTTTTACATATGTTTTCCCAGCTATAAAATGATGAAGCGTTATGACAAACATCTTGTTGGTGCCAACAGTAAAATGCTCTGTATGCTGCATCAATAAAAAGCATCATGTGTTTATGACCATCTCCCCATTAACTCCCAATCCTATATAACATATCCCAATATGTTATATATCATATTTAAGAATTAAAGATGGTTCAATTCTGGACTTATTAAAACAACTTTGATTAGGCTCAACAGTTTTTAATACTTTCAAAAGGTGCCCATTGAATCTTTAGCACATAATCTGAGTGCCGCTACATTTTCTCAAAAAATGCAGCTTAATGCTCACATTGCATTAGAACAATATTATCCACAGTAATATATAAGTTTTAACATTTAATGGATGCCTCAGGATACATCCTCTGCTTCTCTCTTGAAATACAGTACATACAGTAAAACCTGTCTTAGTGAACACCTCTCCCTAGTGAACACCTGTATTTAGTGAACACCACTTTAAGATACATTTTACATTGACTCCTGTATAAAATCCTCCTTCTGTGGTGAACACGTCACCTACCTACAATGAACACTTTTGTGGCTCCATAGGTGCTCACTATATACAGGTTTTACTTTAGTAGCCACTAGCCATTAATCAAGTATGATACTGACTGCCAAATCAAACATAAATTCACAAATTATGCTCCCAAATGATCAATCCTCATGCCAATATTTGACACACAAGGCCAGAATTGAATAAGCATTCTACTGATATTGATGATATGGCCAGGCAGGCACAAAAACACAATTTCCTCATGCATTCATAGTTTAAAATCCCCTCCAAGGGGTATAGTACAGGCTAAATTCTCAATTGTATGTAATTGCAAATACTCGTACGGGAACATTTAATTCATTGTTTTAAGATTGAATGGTGAATCAGATGCACTGGAAACCTCAATGTAGGTGACTATTATAAACACTCCAAAGAATGAATGATACTTGAATGTTAATAAACACAGCTTTCCTGAAGTTATGAATACTTTGGAATCAATTACAATACCATTCAAGTGTACAATAAAGCAATAATGACCTCTTATAAAAAATAATATATTGCTCCATGGGAACTTGTAGTGTGCAAATCTACTATTAGCTAAGTACATGAATGGCTTTGGAAATGAGTCAACCGCTTTATTTGGCAAGATCCATAACAGGACCTGAGAGAAGTCAGGATTCATGAAAGAAACTATTAGAGATACTTTCTCACGATTAGTTTATATTCCCAATATCATGTTTCGATATTCATAGTAAAAAGCTTTTAAATGTGGGATATGTTATGTGAAATACATGTATATACATCTACAGGGTGAGCCAAAAAAGGGTTACCCAAACAAATCTCGATAACTCAGTCATTAGGTATGGGGTTTAATTCATATTTTGTACAACCGAACTTCATTCTATGTTCTTTCATTCTAGTAAGTTTCATTGGTCTATTCTGAATGGCTGTGATTTCATGTTCATTTAACAAATCATATCCAAATGCCAAAACATACCAAAATCACCAATTAACTCCCAGAATTTTATCGTTGGGGCTATTTCAAAGATAATATGTACACTAACAATCCTAGAAGCATCACAGAGTTGAAACAATAGATTAGAAGGAAAATTAAAGCCATATTACACAAGCCATCTGTCAGCGTGTAGTCAGAAAACTCAACCCAATGCGTTCAAGTTTGCCTCTAAAGAAAAGATTAGCATTTAGAGCATGTTTTCTAAAATGGTCATGAAATCTTGACCATTTGGAATAGAATAAATGTTTGGATTAACTTTTTGCTCTCTCACCCTGAACCACTCTACATACATTTTTAAGTTTTCGAGCTGAATAATCGTAGAAATTTATTTTATCTGCAATGTATGTCAAGGTCAAATTCATTCAATACAATTATATTGGTGATTTGATCTTCATGTAACTTGAAGAATAAAGTAAAAGATTACCTGCAAATATCCACCCATGTCTCTATGACTGTCATGACAGCTCTGTGATAGGGGGGCATCTCGGTGCTCGGACTTGTGGCATTCGACCTACTGGAGCGTGACGTACAAGCAGACAGGGCTGGTGACAAAGGTAAACTCAGTGGCACTAACTGATTTGGGGATAATGGTGGCCCACCCGATGGAGATTTCACAAGTTTTGTTGGCGAGTTAATTGTTTCTAATTTCTGCGAAGGAGACACATTATTTCCAGGTACTGGATCCATTGGAGATAAAGAATCACGTTTCTTAGCTAGCACCATTGGGGGTGTTTCATTATCATCATTGGATAAGCGACCCGAAGCTGGACTTTCACATGGAGAGGCATTTGGAGAGGCAGCTGCAAAATGAACTACAATATCCTGGTTTTCATCTTTAATATTCAGCTGCTCAATATCTTGTTGCAGCTTCATCACTTGAGCTTTTCGACCAATATGGCCATCATTTAATGATGTTGATATATCTCTACTTGTATGTTGCACTGTGATGGATACTGGCAAGGCATCTAGGCAATGTGGGACAGAGCTGGATTTAGTGATCAATGCGGGTGAGATTGGGTCAACCTTGGGTGTATCAAGTTCAAAGGTTGGTAGGTTTATTAACTCCCTTTGAAAAGCTAATATGTCAGTATCCTTATCCTCCAAAGGGAAACACAATGAGGTGTCCAACGTGTCAACATCGGTCTCATCTATCTCCTGTTGAGGTGGGAAGCCGCCATCATGAGACTTTGAGCCAACCATTAAGTTCCCATGTGATTTAGCTTTTTGCTGTTTTTTTAAACTTGGCCAACGGAATATACTTTTCCCTCTTATGTTGTCTGTTGTTGCATCTACAGAAGTGGATTGAGGAGGGGAAAGGTTAGCAGCATCAATCGGGGTTATTAGACTATCCCCTATTGCTTTTAAGGCATAACTGGTTGTTCCATTATTTTTACACTTTATTGAGCCAGAAAATTTTGTTATTTCACGCTCCATTGAACTTCGGGATCCACGATGCTTAGAATGATAAGACGTGGTGTCTGGTTCAGATTTTGGAACAACAGGTTCAGCGATCTGAACATGAAGATTAGCTTTCCTTCTTTTAGCCAGTGCTTCTGGAGATTGTTCAGTGGGGGATTGAGGAGTAGTCCTTGGAGGACAACTTTTAATATCTTCCACTTTAGGGGGTTGAAGGGCACCTTCTTGTTTTGTTTTCCTACGCACCATTTTCGAGAACATTTTGTGGCACATAAGGCGAAGAATTATTATTGGATGTACTAAAAGTGGCACCGCAGTGAAGAAAAACTCCTGTAGGGGTTTCTGGTTTAACTCATGTATTATTTCTTCATAGATTTCAATTTCTGTCTTAGTGGACTCATATTCCGAGGAAACACTCTTGCATCTCCCTGGCAACAGTTTATAGCTGAACTGCAGCTCTTCCTTTGTAACATCCTGAAACAGGCAATGAAAAGGTTACATGTACCATTAATGTATATTACATTATGTTATGTAAGGACAGAGCGATGCAATGGGGAGACAGGGAGTGAAGACTTCCATCGCCATGTACCTCTTCCTTTGTGACATCCTGAAACAGGCAATAAAATGGTTACATGTACAGCCAACAAAAGCCCAAAATAAACTGCTTTGTGTTATGTAAGAACAGAGAAAAGCAATGGCAAGATCAGACAGGGACTGTTCCAACGTGATGTAGCTCTTTCTTGGCAACATCCTGAAACTAAGGTAACAAAAAAAGGACAAAAGGTTACATGACTGTATTGTTAGCGGAGAAAGGTCATGGAAAGATACAATGCATCTCAAGTCTCTGATTTTCTATTTTAATCTTCTAGTGATATTGTATTGCCCCATTTCACTAATTCTTTTGTAAATTGAGTAAAGTCAGGCAATTTATGCAATATATTATTGGAGTATCGCAGAAAACAGGTAAGTCAAAGTGACACGAGTGAACAGTGAATGTACGTCACTGTAGACCTAATAAGAACCTTACAACACTTTAATTAGTAGCTGTAAGGCGTATTTCATTTCATCAATTCATATTACCACTACAACATTTGTGTATGTACTTTAAACATAAAATATAATACTTTAATATATAATATTGTACTTTACTGTATAATGTACATTATCTTATAGAAGTTCAGTATATTGGAGTTATCCTGAGGTGAACCAAGGGTGAATCTTGGCAAATTGGTGTTCGGTTTTTTACCGCATCCGATTTGAATCAGCCAATTAAAATAGGGGTGCGAAAACTTAAAATTAATTCTGACAATGTGTGTTACCCCCCTTTGGACATAAAGTCCAGAGCTGAATATTTCAGCACATGTTGATGATTGGTAAGTTAAAACAATCTATCCTTATAACGTAACATATTTTCTACAGTTTAGTGAATTTCGGTCACGAACCATTCAGAAACAACAGTTTAAACGAAGATTGTCCGCATCAGTTTTGATTGTTCGGCCGGAAAACCAATGGGGTTTTCTCATTTGTATAATCATGTGAGCCATAGACTGTTATGGGGGATTTCCAAAGCAGAGTGACACACATTAACAGAAAACACAATCGCCACTTAAATTACATTTCTCTGTTTCTTCTGTTCGTATCAAACCTTTTTTACATGTCATTTATTTAAGTTAATCAATTATGGAGATAATGATGTGAATGGTTTGCAATGCCATAGAGTAAAATAACCGCAAAACGGTACAGAAAAAGGTACCTAGGTCTGAGAAAACTGACCCCTCTATACACCATTGCCTAATGAAGACCAAACAAAGACCCGGATGTTGTGTCGTTTCTCAATTCATTTGGTACACAACTAAGCCAGGGGTATTAAATAAGCCCTTGGGTGAACATGATGAATCATAGTGTCAAGGGTTGATGGTCAATTTATTTGACAATCAACTGGAGTGATTATATACCATAGTGCGAACAGGTAGACGACATTTGGAAACTTTTTGCTTTTAAAATACAATTAATACCATTTAAACCTTAAATCTCTGTCTTCAATTGTTTGGTTGCTTTTTGTGACGCCATTGTGATGTCACATTTATGCCTTATTGTCTCCTTAAGGAGAATCATCTGAGCCAGACAATCTCCCCAAGTAATTGACTAAGTATTCCCTGATGTTAAAGTCAATCAAAAAAAATTAAATTAGTGTAGGGACAATAATACACTAGGCATTAACATTTAAAATGTCACCACCTGCCATTTGTTACAGATGCTGACTGTCGAATGCTGTCACAGATGCTGAAATCCAACAGTAGAACACAATCCATAAAAAAGTTGGAGACAATAACAATATGTCATCCCTTCTGGTGGTGACATGATAAATAACCATTTTATATTATGATAATCGAGAGACATTAAATGCAAAGTCATATTATATAATAGAGGTATTAAATGAAATGAGTGTCCAATGCCAACCAGTGATATATTGAAGATATGATGTGATAAGTAAAATGAAGGTCTAATGCCAATAAGTGATAGAATGAAGATTTGATGTGACAAAATGAAGGTCTAATCCCAATAAGTGATAAAATGAAGGTCTAATGCCAATCAGTGATATAATGAAGATACGATGCGATAGAATGATCGTCTAATGCCAATCAGTGATATAGTAAAGATATGATGTGATAAACCAGGTCTAATGCCAATCAGTGATAAAATGAAGATATGATGTGATAATGAAGGTCTAATGCCAATCATTTGATATAATGAAGATACGATGCGATAGAATGATCGTCTAATGCCAATCAGTGATATAGTAAAGATATGATGTGATAAACCAGGTCTAATGCCAATCAGTGATAAAATGAAGATATGATGTGGTAAATGAAGGTCGAATGCCAATCAATGATGTAATGAAGATATGATGTGGTAAATGAAGGTCTAATGCCAATCAATGATGTAATGAAGATACGATGCGATAGAATGATCGTCTAATGCCAATCAGTGATATATTAAAGATATGATGTGATAAACCAGGTCTAATGCCAATCAGTGATAAAATGAAGATATGATGTGGTAAATGAAGGTCGAATGCCAATCAATGATGTAATGAAGATATGATGTGGTAAATGAAGGTCTAATGCCAATCAATGATGTAATGAAGATATGATGTGATAATGAAGGTCTAATGCCAATCAGTGATATAATGAAGATACGATACGATAGAATGATCGTCTAATGCCAATCAGTGATATATTAAAGATATGATGTGATAAACCAGGTCTAATGCCAATCAGTGATAAAATGAAGATATGATGTGATAATGAAGGTCTAATGCCAATCATTTGATATAATGAAGATACGATGCGATAGAATGATCGTCTAATGCCAATCAGTGATATATTAAAGATATGATGTGATAAACCAGGTCTAATGCCAATCAGTGATAAAATGAAGATATGATGTGATAATGAAGGTCTAATGCCAATCAGTGATATAATGAAGATACGATGCGATAGAATGATCGTCTAATGCCAATCAGTGATAAAATGAAGATATGATGTGGTAAATGAAGGTCTAATGCCAATCAATGATGTAATGAAGATATGATGTGGTAAATGAAGGTCTAATGCCAATCAATAATGTAATGAAGATATGATGTGATAAATGAAGGTCTAATGCCAATCAGTAATAAAATGAAGATATGATGTGATAATGAAGGTCTAATGCCAATCAGTAATAAAATGAAGATATGATGTGATAATGAAGGTCTAATGCCAATCAGTGATATAATGAAGATACGATGCGATAGAATGATCGTCTAATGCCAATCAGTGATAAAATGAAGATATGATGTGGTAAATGAAGGTCTAATGCCAATCAATGATGTAATGAAGATATGATGTGATAATGAAGGTCTAATGCCAATCATTTGATATAATGACATAATTTAGAAATAGTGGTCAATGCCAATGATATAATGAAGGTCTTAAGGTTCAAGGACTCATGTTAACAATCATAATATGAAAACATTAATATAAGCTCCCATACTTAATTGTATAATTACATTAATTGCATTAAGCTGCCATTGTATATCATATGGTATAATGTATGGTGAACGATGGCACTATAAAAGAGCAATTAAATCCGATATGGAAGTTCAAGTGCAAAAAGTGGAAAGATGATTATACAGGGTGTCAAATAAGTCCCGTCCACCCTGCTACAGCTAAAACCTTAACAGAAGGTACCTAGTGTGATATACCATTGGAAAGATCATCCAAAGTTATGTTAACCCACCAACTCTCAAGTATTTTGGATGAAATTTACCTATATTTTTATGATGTCTTTTAAAATTAACGTGCCCTCCTTTAAGTAGCTTTTTTGCGTCAAAATGACAAGGATATGACCTCAGAAATACATCAAAAAGTTAATCTTTTTCAGATTCCAATTGTTACAAAAAGGTTTTCACCACTTTCCTTGCACCTCTATTTTCTACACATCTAACCCTATCCAGAAATAGGTTAAATTCATCGCCATAAACATATTTAGTCATATTTTGGTCCCGTGACCTTTCTTATACACGATTCTTATAATCGTGTCAAATACGCCAAATGCCATGTTTCTAGGCATATGGTCACCTCAATTGATACAATGTAAAAATTTCTGAGATTGATTGACATGTGTCAGATATATGCCAATCAACGTAACTTTGGAAGACCTTTCCAATGATATATCACACTTGGTACCAAATATCTTGGTTTTGGCTGTAGAGGGGGGGACGGGACTTATTTGACACCCTGTAATGCACAAGAAGAAAAAGTTAGAGAGCACAACCAATTTAAAGAAAGGAAAACCGATCTCCAATTCCCAAATTATGCTGACTGCCTGAGAATAACTGATCTCCAAATAAAAATGTTTTTTTAAAAGCTTTACTTATCATATTAGAATCATTATAATATCTCATGTGGGGGTTAATATTTGCGCTTCTATGATTTATGACAAGTATACACAACCTTGGATTTTTTCTACCTTTTGCCAATGACCAGACTCACTTCAAAGTTGCGGTCTTTTAATTAACAATCACCTGAAAAAATCAGGTCAAATTATATTATGCCATAAATCATAGAATCTCTGATCTTTTAATCTTAGTGGACACCCTTCCTCCACACATATCCAACTGACTTCTTTCTAAATTACCCTCTCTGTAGTGAACAACTACCTACACTGAACGTTTTTCTCAGCAAAAAATGTTTAATATACACTGGTTTTACTGTAATACATTCTGTTTGTCATTATACAGAAAGGATGTAATATGATGGATTTGAAGTGATATTGAAAATTACTTAGTCAAGGCATGGGCTTTCAACTAATTGAAAGCCCATGGTCAAGGTGTACCATAAAATGCATCTTGCTTTTCTACTCTATATATGTGAACTACATCCCATTTCACTGTTTTATTGCATCAGTAAAACACCAAAAATTAGAAATCAGGAGACCATTATGCAATAATATACAAAAAAGTATGTTCATATTGTAAATGAATGACAATTGTATATTTCAGATTATTTAGTTTTTTGTGCAATAAGCCTGTGCCCTCTTGTAATTTAAAGAATTTCAGCCATGTTAATCTTATTAAAAATAACATGGCAGAGAAGAATCAAAATATAAGAGGCCACACACTTTATTAGCCAAACAATAAGTAATCCAAGATAAACAAATGTCATTTATGTACAATAAGAATATATTTTTCCATATTTTATTGCACAATGATCTTTTGATTTCTTATTTTTTAGGTTTTACTGACACAATAAAACAATGAAATGGGCTGTCCTTGCATTGCATTTTATTTTCATCATTTGATATCATGATATCACGGAATAACCTGATGTAAATCATTCTCAAGGGGCCTGTATTGTAATACAGTGATTTTGTGATAATATACATACTGTAATAATATAGAGCACAGTACAGTTCTATATCCAATAAATCTCTGAATCTTTCTCTTACTGAGCTAGAGGAAGTGTTTCGTTATGAATTTTTTATAGGATTAAGCATGCAGTATAAGATATTAGCTTAGGTTTAGCTGTTTATGTTTATAAATCATTTGTCTCTGATCTTGCTGGAGAGTAGATATATTGAGTATTTAATATCTTTTGCAAAATAATACGACCATTTCACCGCTGATTTTATTCCCCATAAAGCGAACATCCACAGCACTTTATGAAGTCTAGACTTTGTTGCACTATAGTAACCCTATATATAACCACATAAGGCATAAATTTTTTATGGAACATTTTTCTAAAATCACGATGACAAAAATCAAAATGGCTGCTTATAATACCCACCATGACTGAAATTAATCAAGTATGCAAACCACATAAACCTATATAATCTTTTCCTCGTTGATCCTGAATAAGTTCCTCCCAATTTACAATTCTAAATATTAATCACAGGTAGAGAAAGGCACTGAACTTAAGGCAATCAGTCCCTTATTGAGTTGTTATTCTGAAAACATGTACAGTGAAACCTGTAAAGTGGAACACCTCTAAAAGCAGAACACCCCTGTTATAAATGGAACACTTTTCAGAGCCCTGAGTATGTTAAATGAACTTCTGCAAGTGGAACACTTCCCAAATGGAACACTTTTCAGAGACCCGAGTATGTTAAATGAACTTCTCCAAGTGCAACACTTCCCAAATGGAACACTTTTCAGAGCCCCGAGTATGTGAAATGAACTTCTGCAAGTGGAACACCTCCAAATGGAACACTTTTCAGAGCCCTGAGTATGTTAAATGGACTTCTGCAAGTGGAACACTTCCCAAATGGAACACTTTTCAGAGCCCGGAGTATGTTAAATGAACTTCTGCAAGTGGAACACTTCGCAAATGGAACACTTTTCAGAGCCCTGAGTATGTTAAATGAACTTCTTCAAGTGGAACACTTCCCAAATGGAACACTTTTCAGAGCCCAGAGTATGTTAAATGAACTTCTGCAAGTGGAACACTTCCCAAATGGAACACTTTTAAGAGCCCGGAGTATGTTAAATGAACTTCTGCAAGTGGAGCACCTCCCAAATGGAACACTTTTCAGAGCCCTGAGTATGTTAAATGAACTTCTGCAAGTGGAACACTTCCCAAATGGAACACTTTTCGGAGCCCTGAGTATGTTAAATGAACTTCTGCAAGTGGAACACTTCCAAAATGGAACACTTTTCAGAGCCCTGAGTATGTTAAATGAACTTCTGCAAGTGGAACACCTCCAAATGGAACACTTTTCAGAGCCCTGAGTATGTTAAATGGACTTCTGCAAGTGGAACACTTCCCAAATGGAACAGTTTTCAGAGCCCGAAGTATGTTAAATGAACTTCTGCAAGTGGAACACTTCGCAAATGGAACACTTTTCAGAGCCCTGAGTATGTTAAATGAACTTCTTCAAGTGGAACACTTCCCAAATGGAACACTTTTCAGAGCCCGGAGTATGTTAAATGAACTTCTGCAAGTGGAACACTTCCAAAATGGAACACTTTTCAGAGCCCGGAGTATGTTAAATGAACTTCTGCAAGTGGAACACTTCGCAAATGGAACACTTTTCAGAGCCCTGAGTATGTTAAATGAACTTCTTCAAGTGGAACACTTCCCAAATGGAACACTTTTCAGAGCCCAGAGTATGTTAAATGAACTTCTGCAAGTGGAACACTTCCCAAATGGAACACTTTTAAGAGCCCGGAGTATGTTAAATGAACTTCTGCAAGTGGAGCACCTCCCAAATGGAACACTTTTCAGAGCCCTGAGTATGTTAAATGAACTTCTGCAAGTGGAACACTTCCCAAATGGAACACTTTTCAGAGCCCTGAGTATGTTAAATGAACTTCTGCAAGTGGAACACTTCCAAAATGGAACACTTTTCAGAGCCCTGAGTATGTTAAATGAACTTCTGCAAGTGGAACACCTCCAAATGGAACACTTTTCAGAGCCCTGAGTATGTTAAATGGACTTCTGCAAGTGGAACACTTCCCAAATGGAACAGTTTTCAGAGCCCAAAGTATGTTAAATGAACTTCTGCAAGTGGAACACTTCGCAAATGGAACACTTTTCAGAGCCCTGAGTATGTTAAATGAACTTCTTCAAGTGGAACACTTCCCAAATGGAACACTTTTCAGAGCCCGGAGTATGCTAAATGAACTTCTGCAAGTGGAACACTTTTCAGAGCCCGGAGTATGTTAAATGAACTTCTGCAAGTGGAAGACTTCACAAATGGAACACTTTTCAGAGCCCTGAGTATGTTAAATGAACTTCTTCAAGTGGAACACTTCCTAAATGGAACACTTTTCAGAGCCCGAAGTATGTTAAATGAACTTCTGCAAGTGGAACACTTCGCAAATGGAACACTTTTCAGAGCCCTGAGTATGTTAAATGAACTTCTGCAAGTGGAACACTTTTCAGAGCCCGGAGTATGTTAAATGAACTTCTGCAAGTGGAACACTTCGCAAATGGAACACTTTTAAGAGGAACCAAAGGCAGGGGTTTCACTGGAATTTCTCACAGCAGGCTAAATAAATGATAAATAAATGAAAACAACAGGCAAAATTAATGGAAATCATAAATTAAACATGGAAAAGTTGAAAAGTCCCTCAAAACAACAGGCAATTTTGTGAAAACAACCGGTGAAAATCGCCTGTTGCCTGTTGCTAATGAAAACCTTGCAAACATGTTCCATTTAGAAAGGTTTTACTGTACATTGAACACATACTTGAATTATCTCCTGAACTAGCCCCTCTAGAGACACTGCTTGAATCACTCCATTTTCAGACTTCACAATGGTCTTCCCAAGAGCCATCTGTTCTATGTAAGAGTCCTCAGAATTGTAGTGCGACTGTAGAATTGGATTGGGGGACATTGTATTGAATACTGCAACATAAAAACAATCATATTAAAAAATCCTGTCTCAGCAAAAATCCTGTATCAGATCCTATATTGGACCCTACCCCGCATCAGAACTATTCCAAGAGATAACACAAGATTTTTATGTTTTTCATAATTTTTTCCTATTTTTAAAACAGGAAAACTTGAAAATGTTAAATGAAAAATCAAATTGTAATATTTTATGTCACCATCATTGGGTGACATATGAAAATGAATGATTTTCAGAAAATGTTATGGAATAAGGTTATTGATGTAATATAAATTTTCTCCTGGAGAAAATATGATATTGGCCTCAGAAAATATTACATTGACACTCAGGCTATCACCCTCTGTCTATGATATTTTCCTTGGCCAAGATCATATTTTCACTCCAAATAAAATTCATATTCCATCCTTCCCATTAATAACTTCTGGTTCATTCTAGTTTCAAGTATTTCAAAATTTGGAGCAGCTATAGCCTATTTTTCTTTAATCTTACATATCTAGTGTCACTCTCACCTCATTTAACAATATTGATCCATGTATACTTGAATAGGCATGCTAATGTATCAATAATTACTTTGGTAAATCAATTTTTTCTACCACTAAAAGTAATAAAAAACAACTTACTCATTTTCTAAGAAATGTTTTACTTTAATTGAATAAAGAATACTTGTCTCTGTCAACCTGAACTTAAAAACACAATACAAGTATTTCTCTTTCAACAATGGTTGTCTAAAAAGTCTTGAAATTGTTGCTCTAATTCAAAATGTTTTTGTCTATTCTTGCTGAAACTTTGTATGGTATATCAAGCATATACAAAAATACATCATTAAAGTCTAGCTATGAGCCCCTGTGGACCCCTCTACTTGACTACACACCAAATGGGGGGGGGGAGGGGGCAGAAGGGCTTGTAACTAGACTGACATCATTGTAATGCTTAACATTTTCTATTTTTTCAGAAACGCAGAGTGAAAATCAAACATCCATACCTTTCATGTCAAAGAGATCTACTCGACCGCCAAGTCTATGGAAGAGTCCCATATAGACGAGGATCCTAGCAGCATGATACTTGACGTACTTGGCATACTTTGTACTATGGTTGGTGTAGTACCATTCGTCTGAAGGCAGTAGAAGCTGCATGAGCGTATCAGGAATGTCAGCTTCAGTCAAGGATGTGTGGAAGTTAGGGTTTAAAGCAATACACGCCAGAGCTTGGAGGATCAGACATAGTAAATGCTGGAAACATTTGGTTAGATGAGTTAATGCTGGAAACATTCAGGTAGACTTTATGCTGGAATCATTCAGGTAGAGTTAATGCTGGAAACATTCAGGTAGACTTTATGCTGGAATCATTCAGTTAGAGTTAATGCTGGAAACATTCAGGTAGACTTTATGCTGGAATCATTCAGTTAGAGTTAATACTGGAAACATTCAGTTAGAGTTAATGCTAGAAACATTCAGGTAGAGTTAATGCTGGAAAAATTCAGGTAGAGTTAATGCTGGAAACATTCAGTTAGAGTTAATTCTAGAAACATTCAGGTAGAGTTAATGCTGGAAACATTCTGGTAGAGTTAATGCTGGAAACATTCAGGTAGAGTTAATGCTGGAAACATTCAGGTAGAGTTTATGCTGGAAACATTCAGGTAGACTTTATGCTGGAAACATTCAGGTAGAGTTAATGCTGGAAACATTCAGTTAGAGTTAATGCTGGAAACATTCAGGTAGACTTTATGCTGGAATCATTCAGTTAGAGTTAATGCTAGAAACATTCAAGGAGAGTTAATGCTGGAAACATTCAGTTAGAGTTAATGCTAGAAACATTCAGTTAAAGTTAATGCTGGAAACATTCAGGTAGACTTTATGCTGGAATCATTCTGTAAGACTTTATGCTGAAAACATCCAGGTAGAGTTAATGCTGGAAACATCTATTTAGAATTCATGCTGAAAACGTTCAGGGAGAGTTTATGCTAAAAACATTCATGTAGAGTTAATGTTGAACGTATTCAAGCAGAGTTAATGCTGGGAACATTCAGGTAGAGTTAATGCTGGATGTATTCATGCAGAGTTAATGCTGGAAAATTCAGGGGTCAATAAAAGAAGCATTGAGGTTTAAATCAATATAACAATCCTTCAAATTGAATATTGATACATTTGTTCATAATCATGAATTCATTCATTCAAGATGTATTTGCAAAAAAGACTTTACTCACTGGATCATGGTTTGGATCCAAAGATTCTACAAGAGTCTTCAGATGCCCCTCATTGACCACTTTCTGCTGGACTGATGCTCCATAACACATAACTGTTAAAACTCTGGCACTTAATATAGTTAAACAATGATAAGTACAGTGTCTCCAGCGTACACTAGGTGTACATTTCTGTCTGTTGCCAGTGATGCGTTTATGCATTGTAATAGAGTTGTGTAAGACATGTAATATCTGAGCAGGATCCATATCTGTGAGTATATCCAGGGGTGTCTGCTCAGTACTAATGGCCCCTAGAGGGGTGCTAAGATCCTGGGAAATCATAGAGCTTTCTGAGGACAACCTTTCATGTTTAGGGTCAGGCTCAAAGCTCACCCTTTTATCATCCTGTTTCTGGTGATCCAAATTTGGCGATGCACTTGGGGATACATCAATTGCACATTGGCGATGGAGTTCTTTATTATTGGTACATGTAGATTCTTCCTGATGCTTCCGAAGGGAGTGTTTTCTATGTTGAGGGGATTGGGAACTCCCTGATCCAGAGAGTGTAGAATCTGCTTTCCTCAGTGGTGTTTTATTTCCTTCTGCATCTGACACCAGATGACTTTTGTACTCTTGTTGTTCATGAAGGAAATATTCCGTTTGTAGTTCTGTAGACATATATCCATGATTTATAATACATAGGTCGAGTATCTGGTTCATAACCATTAACGCAGTGAAATGTAACGATTGTCGACCTCTTAACAGGTCCATGGCAGTTAGGAGGAGCTTCGAGATGCGTTGCAACTTATTGTGTTTTTCAATTAGCTTTAAGCTGGAGTTTATATCTTCACTGCAAGTCTGGAAAAACAGGTGGAAATTTCTGTACTGAAAATGACTGAACAGTCTAGCTACAAGCCCTTGTGACCCCCCCCCCCCTCCTAAACACCTCCCCGCTGTGCGAGGTGTTTAGTCTAGTAGAGGGGGGAGGGTTCACAGAGTCTTGGAGCAAAACTAATGACTGAAGTGTTGGCCTCAAATCAAGGCTTTGTAACATGATTTTGCCATGGAAAATCCAAAATGGCCAGAATTTTATCCAGTCCAGAGAGATGCCTAACCAAGCAACTATATTTTATACTTTATTTTAAAGGTACGACAAAAATAAGACACTGAAAGTATAACATAACTCTTTATCACATATATTTTCAAATAGTTATTATACCACTCTAAGTCCGATTACAGTTGTATAACATGGGTCTATAACAACGATATACAGTGGAGAGTGGTATATCGTCATCGTATACAACTCCTCCGTATACACTCCAGCGTATACCACTGTAGAAGTGCATTCTGGGAACTAATGAATATTGACCGAAGAACGAGGTGTATGTTTTGTTACACATGATTTCCTAGAATCAAGTGACGTCATAAATGGTTCCCACATGATTTGCTAGAATCAAGTGACGTCATAAATGGATCGAGGTCAACATCGGCATTACTGAGTTGGCTATGGGATATTTTTATGGTTTTTATAATTGTTATGATTGTGTTTGAATCAACTTTAATTGAACTTAGAGTGGCATAATAAGATTATATAATGGTTCATTCTGTATATCGTGCATTTTATACTCTCGTGAGAATATACTATATTCACTCGTTCGCTACGCTCACTTGTGAATATATTATATACTCACTCGAGTATAAACACGATATACAGAATGAACCATTATATAACCTCATATTATATCACTGTCACATTCTACATGTACTTAGTATATGTCATATGCATATGGACATGGAAGAGATATTTCCTGCTCAAGATTGTAGCATAATTAAAAAGGCATTTCTTTGTATTCTCTATTGGTTGTTGTTATACAACCTTGACTAATAATGTTCTTATTAAGCCATGATTCCAAATCAGAGAGTTTAGAATGTAACTGAATAATAAAATAATTATAGGATATCCTATGATTTTGAGGAATATCATTTTTATCTACGATGTGATATTGATATCTGCACGAGAGAGCAAAGTGAACGAGTGCATATATCAATATCACCGAGTAGATTAAAAGGATGTTCTTATTATCCTACACTTCCTAGTAGTGTAGTAAATGTATAATATCATTGAAAATGAATTTCATGCTAAATAGAGTCAATTTGGCAGGAAATCAACAAGCGGAGTATATCGTCACAATATCCTTCAGATATTGGGTTTTCCGCAGTTTATCGTCAAGATATCCTCCACCCGGAGTACCGGTATATCATCACGATATCCTCCAGTTATTCATTTTGCCAATAAATATCAAATTTATTTTTTAATTTTATTATACATTTAGCACACTAAGTGTAGGATAATATATAATATAATAATTTCATTCTATTTTCGGCACCTTTCTATGATTTTATTTCTGCAATTTGTATTCTCCTTGTCTTTCAGACTTAATTAGTTGTTGGCATTTATTTGTAATCATATGATTACGAAAGGTGATATATCTTGTCTCTTTTTATTATTAACATGTATGGTTCAACTTACTAGAATAATCTGAGAAAAGAGGTCACTGACTGCTAGCTCAACCCTCTCACATTCTGTCGTATCAGAGAGTAGCATCACCTTGTGCATACACAGGTCAAGGCCATCCAGCAGAAAACTAATGCACTCTGGGTTGGCAGCAAGACGAATAAGAGTTGCGAGAGATCGCTCAATTTCCTCACATTGGCTCTTTTCTGAAAAACAAAACAAAGAAAACACATTAATAAAGTCTTAAATATATTCATCAATTCTTTTTTTGTTGTTGGTTGTAGAAAATGGTGCTTTAACACACCTCCTCCAGTACATGTACCATACAATTGTACAGTCTAATTGTACATTTTAATATGTATCATTTCACAATTTTGATACTACTGCAAAACTTTATATACTGAGTCAATCCTAAAAATCAAGAGGTACGGGGGGAGGTGTTCAAAAATTTATCTAAGAAATAGCCCCAAATCAAAACAAATATATGCCTGTAGAATCAAGGTGGCAAGATTTCAGGTCTCAATCCTGCTGTTTTGCAGTTGTAACAACCATGAAGATGCTTATGCGAGAAGCTGTAGTGTAACAAGCCGAATACTGGACATGAAAACAGCTTGCATGTAAATCCAATGCCCGGTGTGGGAATCAAATCTATGACTTTACACTCTGAGTCATAAGAATTGGACACTCCAGCTGAGACTTATCAATTTCTTATTGAGGGTCATTTCCCGTGGTCATTACACAGGTCATAATGGCAGTGCTCGTGGTTTTGGAAAAACATAAAATAAAATCGTTGGAATTCCAGATCTCAGTCGCTTTATTGCGATAGTCTTACGTTTCTTTCCTTCTCCTTGCGAATCAGTCTATAACTTATCAACGATCTTCTAGCATCTCATTGTCAGATTGTTGTAATTTGGCTTCATATACCTCTATTTTATGCTTATTTTAATAAAATTTCAAAATATCTTTTTAATTTTTTAGAAAGCACAGGACGAAACACTGTCACAGTGGACGAAACGTCCATAAAAATTGACAAAAATGCCCGGGGATTTAATAATTTGACTGTATCACATATTCAATTATATTTTTATAATTATTACAATCTGTATTTTTGTACATCAGCATAATATTATCTCTTGTATTGTATCTCATTGTAGAATCCTAAGTTTATATCCAACACACTTTGCCTAGATAGAATTCCCGGGAACGATGTCGGAACTTTTAAGCCAAGGTTATAGCTTGGCAGTGACTAAAGCGTTAATGATTCTGACCTCAAAATATTGAAAACGACTGAAAATGCATGAATGGCATGGTATTTGAGTGTTATATGCAGACTCTTTTGCAAGATGTTTTCCGAGGGGTGAGAGTAGGGACAATGGTGCAGTATATCGAATTAAAAATTACTGACGTATATCATGGCGGGAAGCCCTCGATATAGGTAGAAAAATCGTTTTCTAGGCCTTTTATCGTTTTTTCTTTACTTTGGAAGATTTTGATATGATTCCAAGTACTTAATTCTAGTACCAAAATTATTTTTACTGGGGTAACCAGTGTGGGAAGATGTATGTGGTTGCGCTCTCTCTCCAGAACTTGGAAAAGTTTACAGTATTAGAGATATCATTTGGTGGTCACTGATTTTGCAAAATTAACTGATTTAAAATGATTAGGCTAGGTTTCCATTGGGTTTTTCTAACTTTACAAGTTTCAAATAGATTTGGATCGTCAAGGTTCATTTATAAAGGCCCTGTGATCAATAAGTCCACATTCATACATGTATATACCTTAAGATGCCCTTAGGCTATATTTCATCTAATTCTCGAAATCGTTGTTCCCTCTTCAAAAGAGGAGACGCGAAAATCTTTCCTTATAAGGTCAAAATATTTCCCATGATGCAGTTCGATCTATGATATTTTGTAACCTGGCAGATCGCATTGGCCTTTGGTTCCTCGTTTATAGTTACACTTACAAAGTTTCAGTCATTCCATTCTTTAATTTGTGGGGAAATGATTGCCATTTAAATCATTGGCTTTCTAATAACTGTAAGACTTTTAATCATGTCTACGTGATTGATCTCGAGCCCGTGATTACCATTTCAATAAACATTTCCATTTAAAAAGTTCCCATGTGGGCCATAACAAATATTCAATTGCCATCTCGTTATTCCTATACAGGGCCTTCATGTACACGGTGATTTATGATATCGAAGCGACATTTACGGATTTTGCGATTCGCTTAACTTTTCACCGCAGTCCAGCGCCAAAATGCTGTCCGACGTCTGCCCACAAAATTGACAAATCCAGACATCCAATATGTTACAATAGCAAGTGTCCAATTGGTAAGATTATTATGTATCCATAAACTAGGTCATGTGTTGGATGGAAATTGAGCAGCTGTCCTGTAACAGAATCGTGATTTTCACTTTTAAACCTGTTCAGTTTAACTTTGAACATTTGAACATGGATACATAGTTATCTCTTTGTCACTGAAGGACACAATTTTTAACATGTAAGTAATATCTGCATCCGTCAGTTTTCTCAATAGACGGGTCGAGTTGTAGTCCAGTGGTGGCTGTTGCTCCCGATATCATAAATCACCGTGATCTAGAGGATATGGCCATGCCCTAATGATACAGTGGCCAGGCCTTAATAAATTCTAAATTCTATAAAAAGCTAAGGAGGCAATATAATGGTAGTCTTGGATATTTGATGAAGGATATTTAAATCTTTGTTAAAAAGTCTGCTGTGGGGACCACTCTCAAATATAAATTAGGTAATCAGGATCAAGCTGGAAATTTTAACAAGACGGATATTCAGCGTTCCAATGAACAAAGTGGTTTAAAAGCATTCAATGATGATGGTGCGACAACAATATAATAATGGAAAATCTAAATAAAAGACGGGTCCAAAAATACTAGGCGGCTTATCAGATATGTTGAATCCACAAAAAAACACTTCCAATGCATTATTAAAAAAGCGATTTCCAAATATAAATATAGGCCGTTCCAAAATTTCCGAAATTTCTGAGTCACTCATCTCCCAACTACATGACTCCATGCAATGTCATATGACTTTCTCACCTGCGTGCTCTTGGACTGAAGGGCTGCACTTTGGAGTTTTGCCTCTTTTAAAACTCATTCTTGGGAACAACCCGTGTTTTTCACCAATATCCTGGAAACAAGAGAGTACATTATAACATTTTTTATTCCCACATTTTATACACCACAATAAGTTCAAAGAAAGGGGTTCTTAGATGAAGCCTCTTATGCCTTTTTATTCCACATTTAACAGAAGACATAAAATTGTAAGGGTTAAGCTTCGTTGGCTATCCACTATATTGAGAAAAAACGATGGTAACTATGGCGACTCGCGCTTTAGGGTGGAGCAATTATTTCGAATGTCAATCGAGAAAATCCTTGACTTATTTTTACTGTCGAAAGAGCCAATTTGTTGATAATGTTACAATCTTTAATTACGTCAAATTAAAGAGGCAGTGTCTGATAGGAGTACAATTAGAGTATTCCTTGATATTTTTGCATTAGGAGATGTAACACAGGTTCATCCATCTACTTGCCAACTGTCAGATACCAACTCTCACCTCTATAGTGTCAATTTCATGATTGCACGCAAAATGAATTATTAACAGGAAGATCGGAAATTCAAAAATAATTTCAAAACTCCGCTCTGAATCTAATTGTCTGCCTATGCCTCACTAGTTTGAGTAACCACAGGGCCCTCGAGATACATCCTTGGTCCAAGGGTATTTTAATTAGTTTATTCCATGAACAGGAGCAGTGCACATGATACCCGATCTTGAAGGATGCTCGAGATATGCCAGTCTCGAAGTTATGCTTTTCTGTATTTTGAAAAATGTACTGCCCTCAAAAACACGAGTAAACATAGTTATGCTATTATAATTTTCTTCCGACAATAGGAGGGCCAGTGAAATTTGGCATTTGGATTTCGTGCCATATTTTGCATCTCACTGATAAATGAATGGAAATAAAAGGTCACATAACTATTCACTAAAAGAGCCCTTTCTCAGAACTTATTGATCAACCTGTTCAAGCCGATTCAAGTGATATATTAATAGATGATTGAATGATTATTTTAGCCCTTAACTGCTTATAACATAAGTCTTTTCGATTGGTATTATAAGGAGGTATTGGAAGAAATCAAATATGTTTGCATGAATTCTACGTCAAGTTATCTACTAGGCACCATGGGTGGGAGCGTCTTTAAAGATCATTCAAATTTATATGATTATGTTAAGGGCCAAAATTAAAAAAATGTTTCTTCATAATGTTGCTTCTCGCACTTAATATCTACGTATACCCTTTCAAGACACGAATCCAAGTGCGACCACGAGAAAGTAAAATCATCGAGTCGTTTACCCTGCACGCATAATCTAGTTAATAAGAAGATGAAGCCCTCTTTTGAGAAGCGAAGTCGAACGAATGCAAAGGATAAACGTTGTTTTTCAGCCCCACTTTCTCATTCACGTCGTAAAAACGGAAATGTACGTACAATTTGCTTTTAGCTGAATGCGACTCATCGACCCTGCTATGCAGTTCCACCTTATATCACATGGCTATATTTAATTTCTGGACGATCTGGGACTTCTCCAATAATCTTGACAACACGTCAACTTGTAGAAAGATATTGATCGTTTTTCAAAAATTGATTATATTTCCCTGAGTTTTAACCCAATTATACTCAAAAGATAAAGACTATCAATTTGATTAGAATCTGACTCCACAACACTCAGATAGATTGTCCATTTGAGTCCCGGAAATACTACTAAAGTCACGGATAGTGGGAAGTCCTCCAAATATTACTTATATTATTTCTATATATCTCCTAGATGGAGGACTTCCCACTATCCGTGACTACAGTATATTAAGACTAGAGAAATTATATTGATACGAAATATGTGCGATGTGAAACGTGAGGACAACATTAGCATTCTGCAAATCGTACAGTATAAATCGAACAGAAAGCAAGCCATTTCTCTTGATTTGTCTTAACTTTCCATATTTTCTTATAGTTATATTGGCAATTTGTACATAGTATTTTAACAATTGTGCCTTTGAAAATGTAATATACGAGAATATTTCGTGAAATATTTCGTATTTTGTGAAATTATTGACTTTTTCTACTTTACGGACTGCAGGCTACTGTCAAGAACATTTGAAAAGTACTAGATCGTCTACGATCAAAACATGTATTTTTAATGTCTTGATACCAAGAGATGTTGAAGCATCTCCGTCTCCAACGCTTCTATATAAGGAACGAAGACCCGTGAACATGTAAAAAGCCGACATCGCATTTACTGGTGACATTTTCAAACAAAGCATGTCGCACACTTCCGTTTGTACGATGCGGGTGAGAATGTGGCGTGATTTTCGGGATTCTTGATAGAATGGACCAAAAATGGTACGAATGGGCTAAACTTTATGGTTTGAATCTGCAGAAATATTATGAGGAATCGCTATAGTCATTGTAAATGGTTATCAAACTTTTTAGGGTCTTCAGAATCATGCGTTCTCATTCACATTTTAAAAGTTTATTCGTCATTTATTGATAGTCCTCGTACATCTGACACTATGATAAAGAAAATCATGTATAGCAAAACTAGAATATTAAAGACTCTTGACAATTTCTTCAAGAATGTGACAATATGAGAACTATTATCTAGAACACAATCTATTTACCAGCATGTACAGTCACTAATAAGTACCATGAATTATGTATATAAATGTATTTTTAGAGTAAATTAAAAAAGATATATATTAGAGGGAAATAAAAGGTTTTGTACATCACAAAACAAAATGCTAAGTTATGTGAAGCAAGTGACCTTAATTGCGATGAATATACTCCGAGGTATTTCAGTGGCGTAGATGATGACGGGAGCAATACCCTAAAATGTTCAGAGTAATACCGGCGAGTAGATTCCTGTTTAGTTGGTTCATTGCAGTTCGAACTAATCTATATGACGCATTCCAATTACTTTGCAAAAAGGCATTTTGAAAATAAGAACTAGAAAGAAAATAATTCTTTGGTTCAAGATTTTCATGATAAAGAATACAGTTTTGCCTATCTGTTCTGTTTGCTCTACAATTATCTAATTGAAATCTCCCATCTCAAAAATATCTGTGATAATTTTTTAGAAAGACTGCAATGTGAAAGATTGTATTGGGAGGCTTTGTATGTGAAGCAGCGTGTTGTAATAACAAAGAATTAAGAATGTCACATAGAGGTGACAAATATGTTAGGTGATTCACATAAACGTGACAATTAACAGATATATCAAGTGAGAGACATACAGATGACAAACAAATTATGTGATCCACACAAATGGCAAACATATTGAGTGGGTCATGATCATATACTGTACAGGTGCCAAAAGATTAAGAGGGTCACATAAAGGTGACAAACAGATTAAGTGTGTCGCATACAGGTGACAAACAGATTAAGTGATTCACACGCAGATGACAAGCATATTCAGTGGGTCACAAGGTGACAAGTGGGTCACATGGTAGCGAAAAAGATGAAGTTGGTCACAAACATGTGCCAAAAGATTAAGAGGGTCACATATAGTTGACAAGGAGATTAAGAGGATCACATGTAGGTGACAGGGAGATTAAGAGGATCACATACAAGTGACAAACAGATTAAGACACATACAGGTGACAAACAGATTAAGAGGATCACATACAGGTGACAAACAGATTAAGAGGATCATACTATACTATCACACCAAAATAGTTCTCACTATGTTCTCGAAAACGGGCTTAAACTGTGCACGAACGGATTTGACGTACTAAGAACCCACTAAGAACGGTTTGGGATCTGTTTACAAACTTCATGAAACTACTAGAACGAGTAGGTCCTCCAGAACTTAAAGAATGCTCAAAATTTTCTGGTAATCGTCAAAACCGTTGCCGAATCGGTTTTAAACTGTGTGCGAACTGAATGAACGTAGCTACAACGTTCTACGGTCTGTTTACGAACTTCATCGACTTTCCTGGACGGGGAATGTGATTTAGAATTTTGAATCGATTCAAAATTCGATGGCGACCATACTGTTCTGTAATCAGGTCATGATGACCTTCTAGACTAACATAGATATAGTATTCATTTTCAGATATGCTTTGACCAATGCTAGGATTCAAGCTGTGTTGCATTATGGAGCCCAAGATCCAGTTGCTGTGTACAGTGTGCTGAGGGGCTGCTTGTCTTTGAACATATATGCTGAGTGCAAGGTAAATATTCCATTATCCTAGTATTTAAAATGTATTTAAAAGGTAGGTTTACAAATCTTTGTGATTCAGAGAATAGTGAAATTTAAACTAATGAAATCTGCAAAATTCATGGCAGTGAAATTTTGATTCCTCAAGATTCGCAGAATTGCATTGCGTCAAAATATACTGGGAGAATACTTTTGATCTTCTGAAATAACCTACCACTAATCTGGGGAAAACAGTGATACATAGTGATTTATGTAGCCAGGATCCAAAAATAGTGAGAGAAATTGAGAAAACAAGTTTTACGTATTCAGAGTTTCATTTCAAATACAATATCTAGTGCAGTGAATATAAAATACATGTTTAACTTGTGCCTGTACCAATGGCAAATGATGCTTCTACTTGGCTTTATTTTACATGATTTTTCATTTGTATTGTATCCATTGAAGAGAGAAAAGTGAAAGTTAAATTTGTGAAATCTGGAAAGTGGCAGTGAAATTGAAATTTCCCAAAATTTGCAAATTTGAATACTGTTTTTCTAAATAATGGTACAGGTCTTCCCCTGAAATTGAATAGGAATTAGTGATACATAGCGATTGATGTAAAGTGCAGGGGTGTAGCCAGGATCCAAAAATAAGTGAGGCAAAATGAGAAAAAGCACTATTCATGGGCATTTCACATATCCCCAGTTTCATTTTAGATACGAGTCAAAATAAGTCAATGTCTAGTGAATTTGTGCCTGTGATGATGCTTCTACTCCATGTACTATGCTTTATTTCACGTGGTGTTTCATCAGTATAGCGTTCATTTTCAGCTATGCTTTAACCATTGCTGAGATGCATACTGTGTTGCATTTGGGGCTGAAGATCCAGCTGCTGTGTACAGAGTGCTGAGGGGCTGCTTTCAACATCTCTGCTGAGTGCA